CGGCTTTAGAGATTTCCTTTCTTCAACTTACAAGCTCTTTTCTCCTTTTTCTCCGAATTAGCTTCTGGGAGTTTTGTTTTTTCCTCTCGAACTTCGTTAAGTAGTGCAGCTGAGCTCAATGCAAATATCGTAACCTTTCTTGTGTTTCCTTCCTTACTGTGTATACTCTAGTCATTATTTTCCTTGTTCGTTTCGCTGGCTGTGACCATTTATCGCCACCTCGTACGGGCGATATTCTCGCAGTCAACCCTGAGACGTTCACGTGAGAAGAATAATAGAAAAAAAATTGAAGCAATAAAATTCTATCATTCAGCCGTGCGCTGCGGAAGTGCTGTGCAGAATTGATCAAGGCCAGATTGAAAATGAACGACGTTTACTGGCACAACGTGCTGTTCCGCCTTACACCGGATGTGTTACAGGTTAGTTTTTGAAGGTTGTATAGAATTTCTAGAATTGAGGGTGACTCCAAAGTTTAGTCAACTACGAACTGGGGAACACCTGGAACAAATATGATGATACTTAATCAGATACATGTGTCCCTCAAATGTAATCCATTTTTTCACAAGTACCCCTTTACGTTGCCTAGTAGGCCTGGTCGTACAGCTTCATTTTATTTCATATCTCTTGTCGCTTCTTATTCTACCAGAATTTCAAATCTCAATTGTGATTGTTTCTTTCAGTGCACATAAAGCTTGAGTATTCCGGAAAATGGGGTGATACGATCGCTGGAGTGCGACAGCTCTCCGCTGCGTTTTATATTGAAGTGAGCAAATTGATTTGCTTTAAAATTTCAAGTCCTCTCATGATTTCTATACGAAACCGGTTGAAATTGTTTTTTTTTTCTTAGATTGGGAAGTATCTCAAAGCAAAACATGGGCTAATTGCTATACCAACGGTGGATCAGCTTTTCGTTGTGAAGGTGAGAATCAATTTTATGGTCTAGTTATATAATTGGTAAGAAGAATAACTGTTTTTATAGGATGGTGTTGTGTTCAAACTTGTGTTAGTACTCGACAAAGTATTGAAATTACTCGAGCAGCGTGTGGCTGAAGTGAAGGCAAGTGGCGCGACAAAAATAGAAACGAGTGCGGAAGGACAGCGATTAACAGCATGGAAGAAGCAGTAGGTTGTTGGAGTATTTCTAAAAAAGGAATTACAAAAATCGTGAAGAAATAGTGGGTTTGCGAGTTCTCGGTCGATTTGAAAATATGGCATAATTTCTTGAATACTCGCCTTTTCTGACATTTGGATGAATAAGACCCACCAGAAGAATTTTCAATCGAAGCATACCTGATTTTTTGAAACTATGGAGTTTACTTGCAGTTTTTTGCCACCTACCAATTATTTTTTAATGTTTACAGGATGTGTAATTTTGTGTTGTTATTACGTCTAATGACAAACATGATCAATCAGTCAGCATAGAAAACAGAAGCCACGAATTTTTCTGAAATGTTTATTCTTCTTGTAGACGTAGGTGGGTAGGTGGCAAGTGGCGTGCTCTCACATACTCATGATACGGGGATCGAATTTAAGGCCGCTATGCGTTCCAGCCAAGGAAGCCTTACACCCTCCCGGGTTGCTAATTGGTAGCAAACTAGTCGGAAGAATAGAAGTGCTGAACTTACATCGGCTGAACATTACATGTCGTTCTATGGGCCCATAGCGTTCAAAGCGCCTCTAAAATTCTGAATAGGAGTCGGATGCGGGGCTCGTCCCCCGAAACGGGATTGATTAGCGCCAATGTTCTTGTATGTGAAGGGTGACACTAATCGGTAGTCTAGTCTAGTGAATTAGCAAATGAAGAAAAACAGCGGAAAGAGCGATTGCTAATGAGAAGATGCGAGTTACTCTGGTTCTGTCAACAGCATTCATTCGGAGTAGATATCCGCCATGCCAATTCGCTGTTCATGATTGTTTACATTGAAATAGCGCTCATTGCACCACCGTGAAGTGATTGGTGTTTAACTTCTATGCACAGCGCATTGTCACGAATTTTTTTGCTAATTGGATTCTGATTAATTTCATTTTCTTAAGATTCGTGAGCGAAGCATTACTCCAAGCTTCTCTTCACTCGTTTGCCACGAAACATTCCACATTCGGAGAGACTGTTCAAATAATGAAAAGGTGTGTGCCGCCTTTTAATATAGACTCTTTGTTTGTGCTCTATTGAATGTGCTCATGAATTTTTGAGATTAATTTTAGATGGCTTTCAATTCACTTTATGACGGATGCTGTACCACCCTTAGCGCTGGAGATGGTCGTTGCTGCAGCTTTTGAACACCCGGTGCTACCACCACCCAGGTTCGCTCATCAAAATATTCCGGGGTCATTTTCAAGGCCATCACATTTATTTGCTAGCAGCCGTATTTTTGAAAAAAAAAACATATGAAAAGCTTCGTGGTCTAGAACCTCGCTGTCAGCTTTTCGACGAGTACTACAGCTGATCGTACGACATAACTGGACAGCGAGGCCGCTTTTCGTTGACTTTGACAACGCCTGGAATGGTTTGTTGAATGTTTAATTATATATTTACCTTTGTGTATTCAGTGATTTGCAAGGATTGAAACCGTGAAATTAGGTGGGTTTTCCAGAAGAGGAAATCGCAAAGCTTGAGTCGAATTTTGTGAAGATGCGTCCGGTTCTGCCGCCTATGGTGATAATTACGAATGAAGATCCAGTTGGGTCAAAGTGAGTTGAGGCCCTCCACTGCTCTTTGATTTTTCGAGGTTAAGCTTTCAAACAGCGATTCCTCAAGGTTAAGAGCATGATTACTAGAAATCTTATCTGTCAAGACCCTCAAAAGTTTACAAGCTTGGGAACGAAGGTGGAAATAAGGCGGTGGGCGAGTGCTCAGCGGCAGTTGGGAAACGAGTCTGATGAAGAGAATGAAAGGTTGTGGGAGTAAATCAATTAGGAGTAGCAGAGAATTGTATGGGTAATCTGAGGTCGTTGGAATATTGTATTGTTGAAAACATATCGGAGCAGCTGGAACAGGCCGTTGTTTTCTGTGTAGTATCAGGTCCCATTTCCTCTTCATGGTTTTCATTTTTGTGACAGCCAAGTTTCAAGCAGCGACAGACCTACTTTAGGAATTTGAATGTTTCAGATGGACTCGTGATGGACCAACTCCATTGATGCTGAAGCGGATTATAGCATTGGCCACGTCGACGTTGAAGGTGCTTGATATGAACTACGAAAATGAGAAACGTGTAGACATCGAGGTAGGTTCCGAGCTCGGTCAGAATGAGGTGTTTGTCTTTATAGATAAAAAAGAAATCCTCCTTTACGATAATCGTTGAGTTTATGATCCGGTTTTTGATAAAAATTTCGATCTTCTTTAAATTGTTATGGGTGATTTTTACATTTCAGTCTGCTCTCTCCTCTGTAGACATGTCAATCTATGATGCAATAATTGAAATATATCCAAAAATGGTGGTTCGTAAAGATGCCAAAGAAGAGCTATTGCAAAATATTAAGGTAAATTGCTCAACGTATTCTTTTTGTGCCTTTATGGGCTCCCTGATAGGAAATTTTGGTTGGAGAAATATTCTGGGCACCTTGATTCAGTGATTTCTTTCAAGAAAAGCTCATTTCTCAAATTTGAACCTTTTTTCCTTTGGAAGTCAGCAGTACAGAATAGTTTTGATGGAGACCTTCACGGTTCAGAGTCCGGAGTTGTTCTGCAGAAGTTTCCTTCCAGGCTTTACCTGTAGTGAACTTTGATCCTGTGGAGGAGTTAGTTTACGAGCTGAACGCTCATTTTCAACATGTGGCGTTGTTCTTTTGGAATCGTTATGGTGGTGATTGCATCGGTCTCAAATGGAAACCACACGAATTGGAAGTTCCTGCTAAGGTATAGCTGTGATAACTTAGCTTTTTACGAGATATACGTTTTTATACTAAACAGCCGTAATTTAGAAAATATGCGCTGGCATTAACTTGAACGATTACTGTTTCACTTAATATTAGTCACCTTGTAGGTGAGGTAGACTAAGTTGTTGGAATCGGGGACTGTTGTTCTTTCTGCTTTACTAGTTTTTCCTAACTTAGTTATGGCAAATCATGCCAAAAATTGAGTTGGAAAATCCTTATTTATTTGATGTGAGCAGATCGACTGCTGGAGTTTGGTGTTTCTAATGATCTGCACGGGAACTTTTCTTGGAATAGCTTTACTTGCGACTGTGTCGTGGCCTGCCTAGTATTTTTATATAATAGCTTTTCTTTGGAATTCAGTGACCAATTTTCAGATATCACGATGTTGTTCGCATTTTTCCAAGAGTCCTGGAGCATCCAACCTACTGCTAAACAAAGAAGAGATTTTGGAAGGAATACGAATTTTAGGAAGGGGGATCGTCAAAGATATCCAATGTATAACATAATGTAAAAGTTTCTCTACTATTGCTTTCTTCGAGTACTTGCTCTGCTTGTAAATGATTGACTTTGTCTCAGTGTTTGAGAGTCCCTGTTTATGATCCCTTACATGCGGTCTCATAGGCCAATTCATTTAGGATAAGGCCTGTGGTGTTGATTTGTTTGCAACAAGTTTTTTTTCTGCATCACATCGTTTGGGCTGATTGGTATTTTGTGCAACGTGTGAATTGCAGATGTGATTAGTCACGAAGCTGTGTAGATGACTTTTAGCTATCGGGTATTGACCCACTTCTAGTAATCACTTGGATCAGCCGTTTTCCTTTCCCCAGTGCTGCTACTGTTTGAAGCGATCAATCGATGAGACACTGATGATCTTTATCTTGAAATTCGAATTTTTGTTGTTCCTGTTACTTTTTCTTAAATATCTTGTGGTGTACGTTGTTGATTTTGTTGTTGATCGGTTGTTAGCAGAACACTGTTGTTGATTTGATTAAATACTTCCTGGACACCCGTCGGTCAAGATTTTTGCCATGGTTTTGCCGACTTATATCGTTGCATCAGTCGAATTTATTCATCTGTGCTTAATCCGTGTTCTTTCACAGTGCTATCCAATGGACGATATAGATAAATTAGTGGGCCAGCTGAGTGACGCACAGGTGGATCCTACGGCGTTGGGTACGGTATGGTTTTGTGTAAATTGTCGCATAAATACAGTAGGAACATAGCTTTTTTGAAATTAAGTGTTCAAGAATTTGTTTGTTTACTGACCTTTGTCTAGTGACCACTTCTTAAATGGGTTTTGTTGATCCCTTGATGTTTTTCCCAATTTTCATTTGCAGTTGTTTCCTGCTGTATTCCTTTCGATGAATTACTCTTTAGCAGACGTTCACAAGTTATCGTTGATAAATATCAGGGTCGGGACCAAGTTCTGGGTTCCCAAAACAGGGGCTACCGGTCCACATGAACCAAAATGGGGCCCGCCTTCTTGGGTTCCGAATCGGATCGATCTGAACTATTTTTCACTATATTTGTCAATTAAGGGTACAGTATCGGAGAAAATGTATAAAACCGTTCCAAGTAGATCGTTTATAAATAGCAGATTCATAAGTAGATATGTAAATGTAAACAAAGATCTCTTACAGGTGAGCATCCACATTTTAGTAAGTTCAAAAACGCTGGACGAGCTGCTGAGCAGCAAGCACGACGTAGAGAAGATGTAAGTTGGCTGGTCTTCGGGAGTGACTTTGCAGGGAAGTTTTAAAGAAAGCGCATCACTTTAGCGTAATTCATTTGCGCTTTGTTGTTTGTCCTCGCTTCTCCTTTATTCAGGTTCATTTGGTGGCTTATATTCCTATCATTTTAGGCAATTGAAAGGCAACGTAATAGCCGTTTCGATCATTTTAATCACACGAGAAAGCTGGCTGAGAATGTGAGTGATGATGAGGCTGAAATTGTCGAACAGCTGAAGACAGATGGAGAAGAAGTCCCTCAAGATCTTCGGAAAAGGCCTACTAAGTCGAGGTTGGACTTGATCTGAAGTGTTCGACCTTTATTTGTTCGTTTCCCGACATAGAGATCCTCCTAACTTTTTAAACTCCCCAACTTCGAAGATTCGAACCATTCCAGGTACGCGGATGAGCTAATGCTTAGCGAATGGCTCGTAGACATACCAGAACAGCTATCTTCGGAATGGATGATGGTACCGTCACCAGTTGGCAAACGGGTTTTAGTAGTAGCGGCTAAGGTAGGAATAAAGAGTTCACGAGAAATAGCCCATTGACTTCTAATGTATCATATTGGCTTAGGGTGCTACAACGGCCTATAATAAAGCCGGTAAAACCATAACACAGTTTCGGTCGCGGTTACCAGGAGGATCTGGGAAGTCAAGTGAGCAGATGCTTTTGACTTTTTAAATTTGGAACTGATATTTTTCCTTCAAATTTATCAATCATTTTTCATGCTCACATATTTGTTTTGCAATTCGTGAAATTATCAGATAACGAACGGGAGGGATTAAGAGACTGAATTCTTGTATAAAAACCTTTTTTTCATAGGTGCGTATACGATATTGGATTGCATACTGGATGCAAAAAAGACGTTCTACTGCCTGGATGTTCTGGCCTGGAATGGTATGGATATGAGTGCAAATCCTTTCGACTTTCGACAGTTTATGCTAAGCTCCAAGCTGAAGGAGACTCCTGAGCTGTCGACTGCCTCGAGGCAGTACCCGTGAGTAGTTACTTAATCATTATTTTGATTTAGCAAGTGAAGCACAATCGGATTCCTTCCCTCTTACTCATTTCGTGGTTTCTCCCTTGCCGTCACGTCAGTGTTTCCTAGACTACAACCATGCCAATAGACCACCATATCATTCTAGTCCCTAAAGCCAAATTCACTACATCTCTTTAGTGGGGTTGATCTCCTTCTTGTCGAGCTCGTCTCGAAAGCGAGGAGTATCGTTCAGTGTTACACAAGAACTAACTTTGATAACTCTTTTTTATCTTATTTTCTTATCTTAGTTACGCCAAAAGAGGCGCTACAAATGATATTGTATTGAGCAAAAATAAGGGAGGATAAGGCAAACGAGAAAAATTGGCGTTATTATAGCCAATTCCAGTTACTTCACATAATTGCAATAAAAAATGAAAAGAAGAATCTCAGGCTAAAACAACAGGCCAAAGCCTAACTCACTGTAGATTAAAGTGGTCAGGCATTAATGCTTAAAAATACCGGATATTAGTAAGTGCGTCTCTAACAGAAGGTCTCCTGTGAGCAAAGTCCCTGTGAGCGGGTGGAGCTTGAAGCACTCCTCATAGTATCCACAGCTAAACCACTGGTCCGAAACCAAGGGAGGATTGACTGCGTTCGGAAAGAAGAAGTCAATATTGTTATCCTCAATGTTTTGAAATCATCTGACGCAGTACTTGATTTGAATGCTGCGAATTTATCACATGATTTCCAGGTATCGATTTTTATCATTGCCGTGTTGCAAATGTGAACGGGCGTTGATGGAGGAAATGATGCGAAATGGATTCGAGTAAGTAAATAAAAACTCTCGTAAGATTATATGTTCATGCGGTTTTCATGGTTGTTATGCACTCTTTTACTTTTTCCTATTTCAAAGTATTCAAAAGTCCATTCTATTTCTTATTAGTTGCTTTCCGTTTGTTNATCTGTTCGTTTCGTTTGTTTATCTCTGCCTTTTTTAGCTTCGAACTGGATGGTTTGTTATACTACCACAGTGGTGTAGTCTATGAGGCTGGCCAGAGTCCGTTGGTTGGCTGGTTGAAACCGTGGATGTTGCCAGAAATTTTGAATGTGACGGTGCCAGAAAAGTAGGTTTTTGTTGGTGATTTACTTACGATCGACTGTGTTGTGGCATTAACTAGCTAGCCGCAGTTATTTTCATTCATGTTTATATGTTAAATGTCATCTGTAGCACCTGCCATCCCGTTCATTACTGAATTGTCCGAGCGAGCGGGTGTCAGAAGGTCCTCTTAACCTCTTGAGCCAGTGTGGTCCAATAAAGTGTCTTACCTCGAGGGACAGGGAGCTTGTCATTACATTCGCTTGGTGCCTTTTAATGTGTTTCGATTACTCATTTGACACCTTACTTCGGCATGGGGTTTCTGGAACACTCTCTGACACTCTCTCCAATTCAGTGCTTGATATTTCAGATTCTTAAATGAGAATCAACTACAACAGTCATCCCAACAATTTATCGACGCCTTCAACATCGAACATCGGCATACATCGAAAATTGTTAAAACTATGGAGATGGACTGAAACAGTCTACTTGTTATTAACGATTGCATTCCATTTGATAGATCCAGTGATGTGACTGCTTTGCTTGTTTGAGGCCGGCAGAGAAAGATAATTCCGTAGATTTTTCCCAATTTTCTCGAAAAAGTACTTGATTGCAAAATGCTATTTCCGATTTTCACGGGACCTAATCATTCCTTCAAACTTCCACTTCTTGATACTGCTTTTGACGCTTCAGAGCTGTGCGCAGTAAAAATGTAGTCAGTGGGGGTTCTAGGAAACGATTTTAAGCGAAACGGATGGAGTTTTTGACCTCAGCCCAAAAAGGGAGGAGCTAGAGCGCTGTGGAGGAGGAGTAAAAGATTATACCAGGCCTGTGATGATGCTTTCTTAGGTGGAGCAGGCTAGCTTGCTACCCCTTTCACTTTTGAAAGAAATGAATAAGTTGTCAACCGAACGCTCACTTCTTCCTCGGTGCTCTTCCCTTTCTGGAGGTTACTTCAAAAACTACTTCCTTTTCCAAGCAAGTTTGCAGGCCCGCAGAGTTAACCTCCTTCTCTTGCTCTAGCGCCTAGTGTTGAAAGCACAGCTTATGATAATTCCGGAGCAACTAGTTAGAAGGGGTACTGGACGAGCTGTCCAAGCGTTTGTGCCGTTTCGTCAACAGCTGGCAGCAGTAAGCTACCCGCGTGCGACGTTTGCATTTCGGTGCAAGTAGTGCTTTCCAGTCTTCACAACGCCTTGAGAACTCGTCCGCATTTGGTTGTGTACGTCGGCTAGCCGGGGCTCTTATTAAGCCCTATCTATTCCGTTTTTCGACTACATGTCTTTTATGCTGACTCAGTCACCATTTTTATCGTAAACTTTGCCTTTGAAAAGGAGGGTCGCCTTACCCCCCCCCCCCCCCCCCCCCCCCCCACCCCCTAAACTACATTTTCACCGCCTTAGCACAGTGAAGGTGTTGAAAAACCGCCCTTGGAAGCTTTCTTTTGCTTTAGGCCTTTGCTGATTATTCATGTTTTTTATCAAAGCAGTGATTGTGATTGCTATTTGTGTTACTCATCTCTGAATCGGCTACAAATTGTTAAGTTGTTTACTATTGTGTTTTAACATTATGTGTATGTACTTTTAAAGCAGCGAACATGAAAAATAGAACGGGGCGTTGTAATCTGCTACAGATGGGCACGCCCCTTTTCCTGTGCATTGTACTAACATTGTTGTTTTCTATGTTGTTTTCTTGATATTATTGGATTTGCAAGATTAGGATCAATGAAGGGTTCTGGATACTTACATTGATCACAGTAGAAGGAGGGTGGAGGGTACTGGGAAGCACGTCCACGCTCATAGGGAATAGGTAGAATTGGTTTCGTCCAGGGTATTCAAGGGTTTCTATGAGGCCAATGGAGGCAAGTATTTAGAACGACACTTCCACGAGAACCTGATAGTAGGTTACGGTACAGCAACCTGGGTGTCACGCGGCTATGAACCCGGGTCTTCCCCCCGCAGGGGGTCACCGTTCATCACAGCAATCGCACGCGACGTCGCTCATGTCACTAAATAGGTGGTAGGTTGTATCCAGTTCCAGCAACTACTATCAATCGTACGATCACAGCAGCTGGTGGATCCGGTCGCGGCAGAAGCGATGACAGATCATCGTCATGACATGGCGTTGCGCTACGCTCAGGTACCTTTAGGAACCTGCCGATTGCAAGCTATCGCCTGCTTATTTCTGGGATTTTTGTTCTTTTATGTCATATTATCATGACAAAACTCTAGATTTTGCTGGTTAAAGTGTCATTCGTAAGTTCTTTGTTTCATCATCTTCCTCAGTCTTCCGAAGAAGATCTCAACTCTGTTATGAAATCAGTAAAATTTTTACCACATTTTTCTTTTTCTACTATACTTAACTTCCTCATTTGCTCGAATTCCTAAAGAAATATTGGCCTCTGGATAGGAGACCTTCGTCAAGACTTCTGATAAGTAATTCAACTCAAAGGGATTCAGTCCTGATCTGAACAAACAAAAACCCTATTCAGGTCGTTCCCCACAGCCATATTCCCAATCCTGTTTGTCGTTGGACTGTAGCTATTCTTGAGCATCCGTAAGCCTTGAGATTTGCTCGATGAACTTGACCGATTTGTTACTTACGAGAGAGAACGATTGATATCGAACTATTAATGGAAGCGGTTCATCATTACACATATTGGACGAAAAAAGCATTCCAAATTTTTGGGATAAGTCATACACTCGAAAATTTCGATAATGCATTGGATACAGAGTGATTCAAAATGTATCCGAGAACTAGAGGAGATTTCGTTCCTGAAGGGTGCCGATCAATGTGACAGCGCAGTGGCTGGAACTTGATCTACAATAAAGCAATATCCATGGATAATTTGATCTACGTTTAGTAACCGAGGAGTAGCTGGTGGCTTGGTGTATCCAGGTATATCTGGTAATGGACAAGGAAGACAATGGGCCAGGCAAAGGCTGCACAAATGGGGATGCACAGTGGTCCCAACATGCGCGCGACAAAAAGGGGAAATCAACCTTCCTACGAACCCAATGACTCAAGGGTGGGGTTTGAGGAGACCACCGTATAGATGGAACTTGAACAAATACAAGGCCTAGGAATGAACGCCTATCCACTTGAAGGCATAGCTCGAATGAAGCTCCTGTGTTAGGGACCAGCTGATGGGGCGTCAGTATGATACCGTAAGAAGAGTCGGGAAGGGTGAGGCGCAGTGTGGGATCGCCTGATACGAACCCCACAAGGTGGGTTGCAACTTTGACTGTTCAGTCTAAGGGGGTTCATAGGAATCAGAAAAGGCGGAGCAACAGCCCTCCCCAATGACGCTACTGATTCAGTCGGTTTAGAATAGATTCATAAGCTCAATGTAAGCCACCTCAAGAGCCCACGGGATGGTAAGGAAAAGTAAGCGTTGGCAAAGTGCCAGACACCCATGTGCGCAGGGTATACCGTCGTGCCTGCCACCACCTCATAACCGGTTCCTTCTTCAGCAATTTCCATAGTAAATGACGTAATAGTAGCTAATTATTGCATGACCAAGTACGCCCTTCACTGCAACTCGCGCGCTACCAAAAGAGAATCCACGTCAGTATCAGTTTTGTAGTGACTCCACAACGGCGACGACGACGACGACGACGTATGCCGCTTTTTCTCATCCCGACCGATCGCGGCGACCGGTTCCGCCGACGACGGCAGCGAAAACGCGCGGCTGCTGCTGCTGCTGCGGTCGACAGCGCGCTGACGCTCCGTCGATGCGCCGTCGTCGTCGTCGTCATCGTCGTCACAGCCGAAGTGATCGCTGAAAACCGTGACTAATCTGTTCAGACCGTCTAGTCTCAATCCTTACAAAGCCGTCACACTCTGATACTCCTCCCTTTTCAACTACGGTCTATTCCTGCTTCCTGTTCAACTTTTTCTTATTTCTCGTTTTCTTGGTTTTTGAGCTTTTTAAAGGTTCAAAAAGCAACGATAATAGAGATAAATAAATGAGTAAGCAGGTAAACAAGACTCTACAAAATTACCAGTAACAAAGACCTATGGTGAGATTGATATTCTCACTGGAAGGTCGCTGAAAAAGGCGATAAAGAAGTAAGCGATAAACCACTGTCTCGACTCCCGAACTCGGTTATGGACGAGTTTTCGGATACCTTCGCGAGACCTGCCCCACGGCTCACCTCGACAAGTTTTTGACTACATACTGAGAATTTTCGGACAGTTTCTCTTTCAAACATACGCCTGCTGTACATTAAAAGTTAAGAAGAAAACTTATCGTTCTCGTAAAGATCCACTGAATGTCGTGATCTGCGAAAAGGCAAAATCAACAGTTTGATCTATTCCCTACTTGAACCCTATTCTCCTAAGAAATCAATAATCGTTTATGGAGGTCTCTCTAGGGTCTACTTGCCCTGTTTGTACTTTATTCTGGCTTTGGGAGAGTATAGGGCTTACCTAAGCTCTCCCAGTACTGAATTCCCATTTCGTTCACTTTTGTATCAGTTATAAGGTTACGTATGTTTTCTCATCTTACTTTTTTAAGCATCATTGGCCTATGAGAATTATCTCTTTGTTTTTCGTTTCTCTTCCTTCCATTCGACGATTTGGTTGCCGGATGGGCGGGGTTAGCAGAGTGGGAGGAGAGTTGAAAGCCCTCTTTTTTGCGTTCATCAACTGGAACGTGAGAACTTATTTGTATAGAATTCCTTTGTTCCATATAGAAAGTTT